AAAAAATGGAATAATTCACTTACCAACCAATACAAAGGCATCATTCACAAGATAAAACACATGCCAACAAAAACAAATACGTTAAATATTAAGTTGCACTCAAGCAACTCTTTAATTAATTACTCAAAAATGTACAATTATTTACTTGTTTGTCACGATTAGTATAAGAGAAGGGTATGGTATATAATATAGAAAGATTGTTCAAACAGCAATGCAGTAAGACAAACTTACCTCAGGAATCACTGCATGAGCAAGATTAGCATACAGAAGGTCAATAGAGACCCCATTAATTTTGAACCCCAGAACAGGCACATGAGCATCTGGTACTGGATGTAACTCGGAAACTTCTGGCATCTCAGCTAACATATCGTGAAGCCATCTGAAGAAGTACTCCTGTGGAGGGAAAAGGTGAAGGGTTCATTCGGCATCATAGTGATACAATAACTCTGGGATTTCAAAAGGAGCCCCTCTTACGTTTCGAGTTGCATGTCTTGGACCAACACATAGGGTGTCAATGTCGGCACCAGGGCCATGTACCTGTACAACAGATTACACAATAAATTCAGAGCAATTAATTTAAGCCACTGTGATGAACAGCATGATAGAAGCAATAATCAAATATCTGTACCTAACTGAAACTTTAAGATCGTACATGGGGAAAATGAAATAGAAAATCCATACACACAATGTGTAACACACTTGCCTCATTCAGAGGCTGCATATACATATAACCTAATAAGTAACCTAGAATGCGATAATGAAAATCATTGTGTGCATTTGGATTGACGCCCGTGCGTGCCCAATCAAAAATTGGTCATTGACCATAGGCAGAATAGGAGCTTGGATCCAAGCCACGTTTTGGTTTGCCCAACATCGCGTGGCCAATGCGCAGTTCATTTCAGCCTTTTCAGGCTGATGCCCGGCCGATTCCTGGGCTGCCTAAATTTGGCCGGCCAACTATTTGGCAGAGCACAGAAAGGCAGCAACCAAACGCACCCATAGTGCACAATAGCAGTTTATAGTTTTTATAAAAAATATATAAAAAGATATTTAAGAAACAGTAAGGTGGATTACCCCAAGACGGTATGAACCAAATGTAAAGATCTTTGCATTTGCTTCATGCACAAATTGCTCCCCATACCCGCTGATCCTAGTAGCTTTCTTAATCCAAGCTTTCACAGTCTGCGACAGCATCCAACATCTTCAAATCAGTATAGGCCTAGGGGAATGATAATAAAAAAAAATAGAAGAGCATCCATGGATATTGTTCAACCTGGTCCAGCTTGCCTAAAACCTCTTCTCGCAAGACAGCCCCATCTTGGCTCTCATAGAGTCCTGCGTCTGAAAGGTACTGATCAACACAAACAAAATCATGCTATTAAAAAAATGTCATGAATCTAAGGAAAATAAAACAAATGTGGAAGGGCTTTTGGTTCATCTGATATACAAATCCCCAACCTTTTCAACCTCAGTTGTCTGCATAAGGTCCTTCTCAGTCGGTCCACTCAGCGAGATTGGCTCAGTGACTCCAAGATAACCATTATTGTTCTTCGCCTTCGACATTCCACAGCCCTCACAAACTCTCCTAACACTCAACCTCAGAGAATTACAAATTCTCCTAACACTCAACCTTTGCTAAATGTAAATTTGATCTTTTTTCCCCTTCACTACCTCAACACTTATTTTCCTTTCCTTTTATTTTCCTCTGGGGTGTCAGAGGGAAGGACAACTATTGAATTAACAGCATGTGCAAAAAAAAAGGTGGGGGATTAAAACAATGTCTGGGTATAGTCGGTTTCTCACTTGACATTAACAACTCAAGAACCCCGGGAACAGGCCCCAAAACAAGATGAGGAAGGGCAGGCCCCAAAACAAGATGAGGAAAATCAGAAATAGCTAAAAGTAAAAAAAAGAATATGATGCGGCTGCTTTTCCAGTTACAAACCGAGACGCACGAATCGAATCGCGCCAGCGACAGCAGGAAGAACGCCGACGCCTTGGATACCGGAATCCCTCACGGATCCGAGCAGGAGGGGTACAGGCAAACGGCGGGAGGGCCAGCACCGTTCTTCCGAGTCGGGTGACTGGCGCGGTGTCTGGTGTTGCGACGTGCGAGGGAAGCGGTGCGGCGACCGGGGAGGGCGTCGGAGCGCTTGCCGTTTCCGTTCCCTTGCTTTGTTCCTTCGAGGTGGAGCGGGCCCAAGCCCAGTTTTATCAAAGAGAGGTAGAGGATGCGCAGGCTTACTTCACTGCTTCGGAAGGGGACGGATGGCGGCGTGGTGGTGGCGGGCGGAGGTGTGACGACGGATGTGGATGGGGCCGCGGCTGCGGAGTGCGGACGGGGCCGAGCTGACGGCAGCGCGGAAGCGGACAGGGGCGAAGCGGTGGCTGCAGACGGTAGCGTGGTGGCGGGCGGCCTGGGGCGCGCCTTCGGCCGCAGATGGCGGCGCGGTGGTGGGCGGGCGGGGCCGCGGGGGTGCGGCGGCGGATGTGGATGGGCCCGCGTCGGCGGCTGCAGACGGCAGGCCGGGGGCGTTAGAATACTGTTGAATCAGTCGAAATCAGCCGAAATAATCCACAAGCTATAACAGCAGAACGCCCTGTGTCTCCTGTCTTGCCGGGAGAAGGAGATTGGGTCAATTGATGGGTGCCATTGCAACTTTCGCTCGCGGATTAAAAAAATTACAATTCACCTGGTTTTAGATGTGGCGAAGCTAAAAAAAAGTTATAAACGGGACGAGTCCTAACAGAAAAATAAACCGAAAGGTTTACGGATCAAATCGCACCAAAATCACATAGGATGGTCCCATAAATTATGGCGAAAAATTTCAGATGTTTTAAGATGTGCCTAGTGGCGAAACTAAAAAAAAAAGTTATAAGTGGGACGAGTTCTAACAGAAAAATAAATCAAAAGGTTTACTGACCAAATCACACCGCAATCCCATAATGTTACCTTAAATTTGAAGAATAAACTGATAGTTCTGGATGGGTTGATCCATATATATGATACATTGCAAAATACAAAAAAAGCTGAAAATGAAGGAACGTGTAAATTGTATGAAAACCAGTTAGCGTGCCATGGGGAATGAATCGCTTCTACTCTCTTTGAGTAACCGCGCGCTCGTGTGGCCAATGGCCACCTGGCCAGCTACACAGGATACAACCACGAAGGCGCTGAGGGCGGCCGACTAGGAGAGACATTGGCACAAAGCCACTAAGGGCGATCGATTACACGAAACACGTCTGTGGAGCCGTTGAGGGCATCGACTCGCCCCTCGAGTGCTCAGGTGTCGGGGCTCCGTCCTCTAGCAGGTGGCACCGTGGCTGTTTGCATGATGCCTGCGTCAATCGGTCCGCACCGTGGCTGTTGGGATTTGGGATCCAAGCACTGAGGATTCGAGTCGATGGATGGTCAATGCGTTGATTGGGGAAGAAATCGGTCACTTGTGTGGGACGATTGAGCCTTCAATGGTCTGTTGCTACCTGTTGGGCTGAACCAACGTGAGGCCTAGTCACCGACGCCTTCTTCTATCTCTCCTCGGTCGCTCCTTACCATGTCGTAGCCGTGATGGACACTCGGCTCAACACTCGGTATCAGGAAATGAGGAAGAAGGAGGTTTGGTGCGACCACCCTAGTAGCTGGGGCGGTCGTCCAACAATGTGCCATTATAATTCCTTTTTCCTATGAAATGCATCACGCACTGCGTTTAGCGAGGCTTTGGGCATACCTGTAGGCATATGACGCAATACACATTTTTTTTATAGACCATGCATTCTACCCCTTTCTTCTTGCTGGTGTCTTTTCTCATCTCTCAAGCGACCTTAACGCACCATTAATGCAGGCGGTGAAGGTGGACGACGGCGAGGGACTATGGGATGGAATGGCCGAACCAAGACATAATTAGTTACTTTCTCCGTTCTAAATTATAAGTCATTTTGATATTTTTTTGTTCATCTATTTTGATATGTATCTAGACATATATTATAGCTAGATACATAGCAAAATAGATGTACCAAAAAAAGTTAAAGCGACTTATAATTTAGAATGAAGGAGGTATCTGCTAACGTAAAGAATTGTACAGTAGTGGTAACAATTAGTTACTCCACATGCAAAGATGCACTTATTGAACACTTCCTAATCATTATTCAGCAAAATATCACACTTCGGAAAATCACTAAAAAAATGCTCCACACCATTCATTTATTGGGCAGAAATAGAACAATTGCCGCTGCCTAATTCTTTACAGTTTTTTTGTTGTGAAAATTTTCCCAGCTCCATAGGTCACCCGTCTTAAGCGGACGACGAACGTGCCCCCTACAATCTTTTACTGCCTCGATGGATTCAACCTGTTTACGTGGAATGACTAGTGCTAAGCGCTTACGTTCATTGGGTAAACCTTGTGGCAAGTTTGATGATGCGCTTCGTTCCGTTTTCAACTTGGATGATCCAGTGGAGAATTTGCGGCAAGTTTAGTCAAGTTGATTAACCCTGTTGAGAATTTGGGGCAAGTTTAGTGATGCACCACTCATTTTACTTTATGTACTCTATACTGTATATAAACCGATAACTGAAGATCAACAAAACCACTGAACTGGAGTGTGATCCTTGATTGCTACAGTTTAGCAATCCCACAGCATTCAAGCTCACAAAAACCATGGCACAACTAAGTGTGAGACTGAGGATCAATCTCGGCCGAACTCATGTGCTTGAACCAATATCCATATTCTAGCATGTGTGCATACTATTCCATTTGCTGCCATGTGCCATACCAATATTTAGAAAGAAGATAACTTTCAGCGTTTAGTGTTTTATTTATGGCAAGGCGAATCAAATTCACTCAAAGGCACATAAAAAAAGATCCAAATCAAATAATGCATTTTATATCAGTATATCACAGTATGTATTCAGAACAACAATAAGCAGGCATTACAATCTGTGTTCTAAAGAACAAGTTAGTTTTACACGCACACAAACACAGCGGTGGAAGCACACTTCAAAGTCACGGACACACCACCCTAAGTCTCTTGATCTTGGGCAACGTTGATGGCACTTGTTCTTTCTTTGGCAGGTGCAGCTCCGGTGCGTTGTTCATCTTGGCGAACCATGGGTGTTTGAGCGCGGCAGCTGCCGTGAGCCGCTTGTCGGGGTTGCAAGTGAGCAGGCCGCTGAGTACCCGGAATCCTTGCATGGATAGCTTTTTCATGGGAAACTCCTGTCGCAGTAGGTTGCGCCGCTTCATCTTCAGCTCCGGCATCATCTGGGTGGCGAACGGCGTGGACGACAACCATGGCCACGTCGTTTCATCTGGCGCGCCGAGGACGTTGAAGATCACGTCGAGCTGGTCTGCTTCATTGGAAGCCATGAACAGAGGGGACCCGTCGATGAGCTCCGCCATCACGCAGCCGAGCGACCAGGTGTCGACGAGGGCGTCGTAGTCGGGCTTCCCCAGCAGCACCTCGGGCGCCATGTACCACAGCGAGCCGGCGTTCTCGTAGGGCGGCGGCTCCGCCATGTACATGGCGAGCCCAAAGTCGCAGATCTTGACGGTGGAGCGGTCCTCGGCAACAAGGATGTTGTCCGGCTTGATGTCCCGGTGGACGACGTGGGCGTCGTGCATCTTCTTGGCGCCCGTGAGCAGCTGCCACATGACGCCGCGCACCGTCGCCTCGGGCAGCGGCGGCATCCCGCCGCAGCGGCGCTGGTGGAGGAGGTCGCTGAGGCTCGCGCCGACGCACTCCATGACCAGGCAGAGGTCCATGGTGGCCGGGCTGCGGGCGAGGCCGTGGAAGCCGACGACGTACGGATTGTCCCGGCCGCTCGCCTCCAGCAGCGACGCCTCCCGCAGCAGCGCCGCCTGGCTGCCGTGGGCCGCGGCGAGGCGCTTGATCGCGACGGTCCGGCCGGTGCCGCGGTGGCGCGCCTTGTGGACCGAGCCGAAGGCGCCCGTGCCGATGCGGCCGGTCTCCTCGTAGTCGTCGGTGCTGCCCATGGCGACGCGCGTCCTCTTGCGGGTCGGTCGCGCGGCGCCGGGGTCGCGGACGGCGGCGGCTGGTGCAGCTGCCTCTACGCAGGCGGCCATTAGGGCGAGTGGAGGAGGCGGGCGATTCGACGGGCTGCTTGCTTGACGCAGGGGGACGTGGATCGTGGGAGGTGGAGGAGAGGCGGCGGGAAGCCGGTGAGGATGCGCGAGTAGCGGCGGCGACTATATGCTGGGGGTGCGTCGTGAGTCCGACGACGACGAGCGATGCTCGATTTCGACTCGGTTCCCGCATCCGCATGATCGATCTCTCCTCTCGTCTCCGACAAAGGTTGGGAGCAGCAACTACCTGGCGCGTGCCGCGGACGCGTTCATGCGATCCTGCCTGCGACTCCGACTGCGAGGCCGAGGCTCCCGACTCCGAAAAGCTTTTGGGCGATGGCTTGCGTTGCGCGCACGGCGCACGGCGCACGGCACAGTCCAAAGTTCCGTTTTGTTTTTTTGAGATGTCATCGTTGTTGGGCTCCGTAGTCGTTAAGTGTCTGGGCTATGGGCTGTGGGCCGTCGGAGACGTAAATCACGGCTGCTTATCCGGCCTGCAAGGAAGGAACGGAGCGACAAGGTTGGGCCTCAGGGTCCCGACTCACCCGGCCCACGCAGCATGTACGCTGGGCGCCGCAGCCCCGGATCGCTGGACCTGCAGGGGCGGCGGTGGAACTGTGAGGCAACGAGAAGACTCCTCGCTGCGGCGCAGGTGCGTGCGACACGAAGACCCGCCACGATGTGTTTCATTTTGGCTAAATTTCCTCCCAGTCCCGGCAGTCCACCGCCCGTCCGGGCTCCAGGCTCCAGCTCCAGCCATGCCAACCTTGGCACTGGCAGCAGCAAAAACCAGATTAGCTTACGCTAAACTCTGAATTTGTCGTCGCTTTGTTACTTACATAGGTATCAAGAAAATATGCAATTCTAGTACAGTTTTCTGTTCTAGTACATCAAATTTGACTAATTATATATAAAAAATTATAAATATTTATGATATCAAATAAATATCATTAGATTAATTACGAAATGTATTTTTATAATAAATTAATTTGGAGCCATAACTATAAATATCATTCATTGAAAATTTAGTTAAATGTAAAGTACTTTGTTTAGCACGCAACTCATAGTTGTACGTTTTCGTGGAGGACGGAGTGAGCAACTACTCCTACGTGACGCTAATCTCAAGCCCTCTGCGTTGTACGGTATGGTCCGCTGCCTATTCTTTGCCTTTTTGTATGGTACTGACTGCTGACCTGGAGGCATCAGACTAGCTGTAGCTGTAGTAGCTGATCCAAAATTGCAGGCGTTCAAGTACTCACAGGCAGGCAGCATTGCAGCAGTAACTAGTATCGGTACTGTTTGCAAAATCAGCCTAAGGTTCGTACTCCAACGGAAAAAGTGAGGCTTTGTTTAAACCTAGAGCTAAAATTTTTATAGAGGTGTCACATCATGTGTTACATTGGGGTGCCATATACGGGAGTAGTCGGATAGTAATAATAAAACAAATTACAGAAGTCCTCGGTACTTCGCGAGACGAATTCATTAAGCTTAATTAATCCATCACTGGCACATATTTACCGTATCTTTGCTGTAGCACCAAGTTATCAAATCATGAACTAATTAGACTTAAAAATTAGTCTCACAAATTAGTCACAATCTGTGTAATTAGTTATTTTTTAGTCTATATTATATATATATATATATATTACTAAACTTTAGGGAGAAACTAAAGAACCAGAAAAAGGAACGGAGAGTGGTCCTCCCCTGCCTACCGAGACCGAGATGCTAATGCTAGGCCCCGTTTAGATCCAAAAATTTTTGGATTTTGGCTTACTCTAGCATTTCGTTTGTATTTGATAATTAGTGTCTAATTATGGACTAATTAAGTTTAAAAGTTTCGTCTCGCGATTTCTCACCCAACTGTGCAATTAGTTTTTTTTTTCGTCTACATTTAGTACTCTATACATATGCCACAAGATTCGATGTGACGGATACTGCGCAAAATTTTTTGAAATCTAAACAGGCCCCTGTCAGGAGTCACTCGCTTTGGGAGGCTTCGAAGTTTGGACCGGGCAAGCGTTGCGTCGTCTCGTCTCTTTTTTTTTTCTATTCTTTTGATAAAGCAACCAGGGGTGGTGCTACGACAAGTAGACCAGGGTACATGCCTGTCTGCTCGGCGTGGCATCGGCATTGGCATGCACCCCTCTGCCCCGGGGACTCGGTGAGTACTCCTACTCCCTCCTTTGGCCTGGGTCCCCGCTGCCTCCATGTCCCCTGCCGTGCCCACACCGCTTGTTGCTTTTTCTTCGCCTAGCATAGCAGTATATGCATTTCCTTCTTCGCCTAGTTGCAACTTGCAGCCCGGAGCCCCCAGCAGAGGCCAGCACAATGAGGATTCAGGCAGCATCAGCCTCTGCGTCTTCAGCACGGTTACTTTGTGCACAAGCGTTCAGAATTGAATGTAGCCTGCATGCATGCTGTTCAGGTGATCATTTCGCCGCAAGCATGAACAGAGGCTGCATGCATATTCTACCATGGTCTGTGGAAAGGTTACGGCCGGGAACAGTTTGCTGTACAAGCCATCATTTCATTTCATTTCATTTCGACTTAACAAAATATTTGATTGAGCCCATGGCGCGGCTCTTGTTACATAACATCAGGACACCAAAAGCAAAAACCAAACAAAAAGAAGAAACCAGGCCGGCCTTCTTCCAAGCTCGAACGGCCGGGAAAAGGAAGAATCGTGGCACGAAGGGGTATTCTCCAACGGGAGCACAACACCAGTTTACCTTCAAGAATGTTAGGGGTCAGCTTATCTTGACACAAAAACGCTCCTTTTTTTCTTGCCCGTAAATCGGGACTCGCAGATGGTTAGATTCAAAACTGTGCAAATATTCCTGTTCATTCATGGTAAAGAGAGCATGTATTAGTCATACTGCATGCTTGAAATCTAACACGAATGATCTTTGACGTTCAGCAGATCATACCTAATCTTACAATCACAAAGCATCTCCTCGAGTATCTGCACGTTGAAGACGGTAGGAAATGGGGCGTCAATCGCAGCAAAATTTCCAAACATCATTCGAGAAAACATGCGTATGCAGACGACTCCAGACACCAGGGGCACAGAAACACATGACAAAAGGAGTCACCTGTTAGCTGCAAACATTCCGACTGATGGAACCTTGGGAGAAATGAACTTCAGTCAGTCAGTCATCAGAAGGTGCGCCCTGCCACTCAGGTAACGAGGAATGTCTGTCTGCACTCTGCAGTGAAACACCACATGGGGGGTTATGATGAGTAGAAGGAATGATTTCACATGGAATTCAGAGCATCAGTAAGAGCAACGAGGCTTAAACAAATACTACTCCTACTAGGATGCTGCCAGTGCCAGCAGTATAGAATACAAACCTTGGCTGGCTCCTTCCATCCTCCATCGAGATGCACAATCAGTAAAAATTTATGTCCATGTAACTGCGTGGATAAGTCGGGTATGGTAGCTCGTCCAGCCCCAGAAGGGAGGCAGAACGAGTGATGCCGCCAAACTGAGCTTGGCTCGGAATCTGAACCTCTGCTGTGAAAATGCTGTACACAGGTCTGTGATCCGAGAACCGAGACTCGCCGCGCACGTAGCATAATTGAATTAGACCTCGTCCGTACCATAGAATCCGGTCACACCTTCAGAAAGCAATACATATCAGGAGGTGAGTGGTGCGTGCTTGCAGAAGAGAGGTGCTTGCTCACAGTTAACATATACTTTTTTTAGGTGAGTGATCAAAGGTGAATATTATAACAAGTTCAGTTTTTTGGGAGAGATTTTACCATGCCGGTGTCCTTCGCTTCTCATTTGGATGCATGTCATCGCCAGCATATCTATCAGAGTTGTATGAGTATTTGTATGTGGGAGGAAAGTAAATCCTCCCTTCTTTCCAGCCTGCAAAGACCCGACCAAATCGTTGCTCTATGCGAAGCTGTACCAGGAATTTCAAGCATTAGATAACCAAACAAAGGCATCTCCATAACAAGAGGCATAACTCTGATAAGTTCACATGACAACAGCTAGCTAACCTGGTCCTTTTCCAACAACTGTTTCCAGTTGTGCATCTCAACTAAAGCCTTAACTGAGCGGTAGGAAAGAGCTATCCGGTAATTCAGGTCCCCAAGCCAAATAATACGACTGAAAAGAAAAAAAAAATCATAGAATAAGATTTGGTGCTTACAAACTTCTTTCTTGATTTTTTAGATATGAAGTGTTGAACTGGTCTGGAAACAGCAGAAAACGAGAAGCGCTAGTGCACTACTCACTCATGATCCAGAATTGTCTCTGGTGACTTCTTGTCACCTGCTCCATGAACATGCGGGAATCTGGTCTTCCTCAAGATTTCCACTACATCTGCATTTCGTCTAAGTTGATCACCATCTTTTTGGCCTGATGTTAAGTGAGTGCAAACAAAGCAGAAGCTTGTCTGATGCAGAGACATACTGATTGATATGGATCCCTGAAAAAAAAAGACTGAAATCAGGAATAGGGCTTACCCCAAAAAAAATTCAATAAAACAGATGCATATAAAGCTAAGATCTCAAACAATATAGTTGAAAAAGTTACACTGTACATGCAGAGTTTGGTGTAAATATTATATGTCAAACCCTAACAGAAATGAACAAGATAACCAATTGTACCTTGTTTCCAAGGTAGCCCATCAGTCCTCTACCAACACATGAAACCTTCAAGTTTTTCACATGCTCTCTTATATCACTTGCACCCACACCATGAGGAAAATTCCAACCATTTGCTTGCTGGCAACTAAGCAATACCTGATTTGTCATTGAAGTCTTAATTTCAGCTCAGGGGAATTCAATGATGAAAATTTCAGTGAAATACTATATAACAGGGAATTATTGCATACGATTAGCTCAGAAAGCAAATTAACTTTGAGGAAAGATGAGCTATTTATCTTCAAGTGTCCTAAGTTGAGATGCTTACCTAGAATCAGTGCATAGTGGAGCACCATATGCACATGGCATTGGTGGGAAGAATATACCACTAGGTGATTCCTCGTCAATATTCTCATCATCAGATGACCCACCACACCTCATACTGGTGTCAACATCACTTGGCCTGCTCCCGAAGCTAATCCGGTCACAAACACTGAATCGACGGTCCACTAACGAGTGTGGATCCATCATGTCAATCCTTGAACTACGATTGAAGGATTGGAATGAACGTCGATGGGAAAATGACGAGTTCCTTTGCTTTCTTGATGATCGCTCAAAGTCAACATTGAGCTCCACAATTGGATCTGGAGCTGGTGAGGGGGTGTGGTAATTATAGACACCAGAGCCTTGTTGATCAAGATTATTGAGAGTTTTTCTAACAAGAGAAACCCATTTCTTCGCCGGACCATTGTCTTCAGTCAATAGAACATTACCAGCATTCAAGGGAACAATTTCCTGAAACCTGGCATAACAACCTGTATTAGTTTTTTTTTTATTTGAGTTTTTAGCTTTAGAGATGCTTCTTAGTTTCGAGAGAAGTAATCTGATTTAGTAAAATGCAGAATTATACCCTATCACATATATATCAGCAGCAGGAGAAGTATGAAGCCAGTCTTCCAGATTCAAATGACTAGATGGTGACCTTCCGCCCACATTCCATGTACCAACGAAGACCCTATGCACACAAGTATATGGATTGTCATATCACAGGAGTTTCCTTAAACCAATGATTAGTGGATTGGTCAAGAAGTCTTATAAACGAAACAATCTATTTACCTGTAGTCCTGTGTGTTTGTAATATAAGCACCATCAAATCCGTTTCCTACTCTACCATCTCGCTCCACATTCCTCTTCGGCAACCTCTCTATGTATGTAAACATAAAGTTAACTCAGTCACTCACCACGAAACATAAAGATAGCAAGATCCTGACATTTGCAGTTTAGCACAAAAATAAAACAACAGGGTGAAAAAAAAAACTGAAGATACCATAGTTACTGTCAGGGGGCAAGCAAAATGTACCTGTCCTACTTTTCTTGGATTTGCATGCATCTCTATCTGAGAAGCTGGTCCTCCACTGCACTCCCACTGAAATTTTCAGAAGGAATTTTAGCAAGATACAGTAAAAAGAGAATCCTAGTTTACTCGGGGTCACTAGCATATTCTGGTTGCTTCTGCAACCGTAGGGGCGGAAGTTTGACTGAAGAGAACAGGAAGTATGAGGCCAATTTGCACATGAAAAGAACAAGCATTCTGATCCTACTGTGATAAGAATATGTTTAATAACAGAAATCATGCAGAATTTTATGAGCAGATTCTTTGCTGTTAGATCATATAGTGAAAAGACGTGGTGGGGTGTTGCTAGATGAATGTACCTTCGTCAGCTGCATAATCCGAATGGAAGTCCTTCGCCTTTGTTTTGATGTTGAACCACTTCCTAACAAGGGTCTTGGACCAGGACAGCTTTTTGCGCACCAATCACAACCAAAACAGGATCAGAGACGAACACAGAAACGTGAGTACGAACGTGATGGAGCTGCCAATCTGGAAACACGCTTACCTTGTTCTTGCTTGAATTGTCATCTCTCATTGTCTCAATGCTTCCTCATGCAGCTGCAAGGGATATGTTCCTCCCTCCTCAGAACCTCCAAGCTTGGCCGCTTTTTACTTCCACTCGAACGGTATCTCCAAAAGGAATCAGGAAAGAACAGGATTCCACCACCTAATTTTTTCCCCTTTTGTGAAATGAAATAGACCGAACCGGCTAACGAACCAGTGAACTCCCAAGAACTATTTGGCAAACACTCCAAAGGCAGCGTAGAGAAGAAAGCAAGGAGCAAAGGGAAGCGGTTCGTTAGAGATCACGGGGGGAGGATGAGAAAGAGAAAGCGGTCGCCGGCTCGCCGAAGAGAACGCGGGATTCCGGAACAAAACCAAGAGCAGGACACCCTTGGCGCGGCAACAACCTGTTGGTGGCACCCCAACACCAGAAATCGCTACCGGTGAAGGAAAAAACCGGAGAAAAGACGGGCAAAACCTCGATCAAATGCGGGATTTTGAGCGTTGGGAAGGATCGATGGCGGAAGCAGTTAAACGCTGCTCCAGGACATAAAAGAAAACGCCACCAGAGGCAGAACAGGAGCGGAAGTAAATGAGCGAGCCTAGGAGCCGCGACCAGGAACACGGCGGGAGGCACGGAGGCGACCAGCGCTGGGGGCGCCTCGAGCAATGCAAGGACCGGGGCAGCAGCTCAGCGGGTGGCGCGGCCGCGGATTTCAAGGCCTGGGGAGGGAGATGGCCAGATGGGGCGGGCAGAGAGAGGGAGGCTGCAGACAGTGCAAGGACGGACGGACGGACACGCTGCTCCCCGCCCGTCTGCGCGCTCGCGCTGTTCGAGAAGACGAGCTGGGCTGGGCAGCAAAGAAGCAGAGCAGAGGAGAGGACAGTAGGGGAGTGGGAGAGCAGCGGCGGCAGTGGGAAGTGACAAGTGAGGGAGGGAGCAAACGGCAAAGGAGCTGAGAAATATGAAGGGAATAAAGGCAGAAGCGTTGGGGCCCCTTTCTTTCCCCTTCTACGGTTCTACTCCTACAATAGCCTTTGCTCTTTAGCTCCAAAACCAAGGCGAACCCTGCAAGTTTTGGCTGGGGTTAATGGAGCTTTTCTGATAGTATTTTCTTCAGCAACTGTTGACCAAGTTGCTAGATTCGGGTCAGGAGTTGTTCTAGGTAATCTGTAGTATGTGTGACCTTTGTTTTCTTCACGCTTCAACTGTTTCTCTTCCTGTTAAGGGCCTGATTGGACTGCGGGAAAAAAAAAATTCTATTTCTACGTTTTTCCTGTGGAATTGAACTGATTCACGTGAAATTCCTGTAAAATTCCTACGTTACGGACAGGTCCAGACATTTCCAGATTGTAAAGCTCTTACGCTATGGCCCGTTTTAAAAACTGAGACTAGAGAGGTGTCAGGTGTGTGCTACCATTGGCATATAAATCATGTCAAACCCCACCGGAGTTTTTAGTCTTTGGTGCTGACCAAACACTTTGGTATTAGGACCGTAGGAGTACTCCTGAGCCACTGCAGCATTGAATGAAACACAATGCTACTGTTACTAGGTGTTCCCAAAATTTTATAAAATTTTTCAAGATTCCTCGTCACATCGAATCTTTGGACGCATGCCCATGAAGCATTAAATATAAATAAAAAATAAAACTAATTACACAGTTTAGACGAAATTCACGAGACGAATCTTTTAAGCCTAATTAAACTATGATTGGACACTAATTGCCAAATAACAACGAAAGTGCTACGGTACCATTTCCCAAAAAAAAACGTCAACTAAACCAGGCCTAGCTAGCAAATGTATACTGATATTATGGTCTTATGGATTCTTCCCATGTCTTCGAATCCAAGTGATTCTGAGTTTGTTTCAAATGAATATATTCTAAGTTTTATCAATGCTTCTTTTAAAGAAAAATACGAAATCAAGTGAGCATCCGTAGATCCATTATGAGATATACTCCATTCGTTGAAAAATAAACAAACTCTAAAACTGTCCTAAATCAAACTATTTCAAATTTGATCAAAATATCTAGAAAAGAACACTGATATTTGTGATATTAAATTAGTATTACAAGACACACCAAGAAATATATTCCATAGTTTACTTATTTGGTGTTATATAAGTATTTTTACTCTTCATTATAAAATTGATCAAACTGAAGATAGATTGACTTTGGGTGATTTTTCAAGGAGTTGATTTATTTTCCAACAGAGAGAGTATTTCATACTTTACCTATTTAAAACTCGATCAATCTTATACTAGTTTAATAACTCATGACAAACTCATAATTCATCGTATTATAAAACGGATGCAGTATTTTTTTTATCAAGACCAATCAACTCAATCGCTTTCAAGCAACCGAATTCAACAAGTCGATAGAAATATCCAGTTAAACTTTACAATAGTTGTCCCCAGAATGTTCCTTGTTAACAGTACCTGGAGATAGTGATCGTTTTAAGCAGCAGGATATTACACTGGTACTCTTGGAGGGGAGAAAAAACGGTGCTTGGTTGGTCAACGACTCAGTGGGAGTACAGGGACAAAGCATCAATGTCATGCACAATGAAAATAGAGTAACCTAGCAAAAGCTATGAATCTAGAAATATTAAAACGTCCTATAATTTAGAACAGAGGGATTAGTTTGTTGTTGCATGGTTAGTTCATTAACATTGGGTCCTGTTTTCCAGAGGTATGAATACCGTGGATTCAATTATTGCAGGTGTTTCTTCTGAATCCGTCTATACAAACTTAGGTGATTCGAAGAGTTCAGTCACTTGTGTGATTTGTTAACCAATATCATATGAATTTATGAGTGCGGACAAATCATATCATCTATGTTTTTTCCTTACTCGGGTGATATGATTGCTTTAACACATGATTTAGATGGTGGCAGAAAACTATGTGATTTGAAGGGGATCATCACACGAATGAGATGAGGCAAGACAGGCATAGGCCAAAGATTTTCTCACGAATCCTTAGTTACGCTACAACAACATTGTTAAAGCAATGTTAAAGCTAAAAAGATGTTCTACATAGGAATTATATTGAAATAATCATTGGCTTTAGTACAAGTTCTGCTTTCGTTCAAGCCTACCAATTCGATCCATCGGGCTGTCGATCGCTACAACAACATTTGTTGACTTGCCACTCGCATCATTTGCAGCACAGGAAAACTAGGACCCAAAAAAAAACCAAGGAGGAAGTAGAGACGGTTAGTTGGCTTTTGTGCTACTTTCAGGATCCGTGAAGGCCCTAGTAGATCACAAATCATGTAAGATTGTAGAAACCTGTAAACTCATCACGATCTCTGTATTTTGTTGCTCTATGTCTAAAACCATAGTATAGCGCTACAAGACGATACTCGAATTTCCCAACGTATTCTGATTTACTGTGACCGTGTCATATCTTGTGCTGTGTAAGAGCCCGGCAGGGAGGGCCCCTAGGGGGTGGCGGCACTAGGGCAGAGGGAGAGGGAGAGGGGTGGCGTAGGAGGGAGGGAGAGGGGAAGGAGAGATAAGCCTTGAGACAATTCTTTCTTGATTCCAATGATTACATAGCCTTTTTACTTATAGTCCTTGATAGACTTGTATCTTAAGTAATATAATGAGGGAAGTCCTTATAAATATGGACTCCTTCCTATCTTAGCTAATTCTATTTCTATTGGAGATCCTCCGGATATGGATAGTGGAGCCGCGGGGATCCGCTTTTGCTTGTGCGCCTCCCCTTAGGCGTCGGCGCGGCTGCTGCCCCTTGCGGCTGCTGCCCCTTGCGGCGGCGGCGGCGCGGCTGCTGCTAGCGCCCGGGCCAGATGGGCCTGTAGGCCCCATTAGGTGTATGACACACTAACTTCGTTCACGAAAACATGCAATTCTTGCACAGTATTACGTTTTAGTATCTTATACCAATTATAGATAAAAAAAAGTATCAATATTTATGATATCAGATAAATATCATTAGATTAATTATGAAATTTATTTTCATTATAAATTGATTTGAAGCATAAATATAAATACTATTCATCGGATACTTAGTCAAATGTGACCTACTTTTATGACAGGCAATCTATAGTTGCATGTTTGCATGTTTCCTAGACCGAGGGGAGTACAATGATCCCCGGATCCGTCCTGAAATTTCCGGCCTTCGCCTCGCCTTGATAAACGAGACTCGAGCGCTCTGATCAGTGGTCAGTCCTCAGAGGCATCTACTCCGTACTCCTACGTACTGCTACTGGGATCCTTGGGCCTCGTAAAAATCCAGGAGCTCGCAGTCGCGGGCGCGAGGAGCTGCTCCATGGCATGTGGGCCCAGCATAAGCCCACTTGTCAGCGCTGCAGCGCTGGCCGCGCTCTTCCTGGAGCAGATGGCAGCGCTGGCCGCCGGCAGGGCAGCCAAAGCCCAGAGAGCCAGTGCCAGTGTGCCACGGCAGACTCGCATGGCACTCGCACTGTTCCTGCTCGCCTCCCGTGCTGTCTTGCTGCAACCGGCAGCGGGCAGCGCCAGCGCCAGCCGCAGCCGCGGTGTTGGCGGTCTGCCTGCCCCCGCCGGCCGCTGCCTCTGAGTATCTTCCTCGCCGTGGCCAGGCCTGGCCCCGGCTGCCGCTGCCGCTGCCGCTGCCGTGCAAGAGCCAAGAAAGGACAGGCAGTATCTGGGATGGTGTCGCTACGTGAGTGTGCGCGTGTATCGGTGTAGCCGTGTAGGGCAGGTGTGTGTACTACTAGTGTCTAGTGTAGGGAGACCCATACCACCGTCGCTGTCCGCATCTGTACATCCCGGCCAGCGTTGCAGCCCAAACCAGCTCAGCTTTGTTCGTGTTTCCCTTTTTTCCTCCACTCCACCTGTGCCCTGTCTGTGGCCAATCCTGAGTGCGGTTAACGTGGGACGAAGGATTCTTTACGCAAATCCGTGCTGACGGAAGTTCGTCGAAGCAGCAGGCACTGGCACAGTGGCACTGTCTGTATTAGGGGTGAACATGGCGGTGAAAGCCTTTGCCTTACAAGATAGACAAGTGGTTCAGATGGTTTTCTTGCAAGCGTCTAAGTCTAATCTGTCAATGCGTGTGGTTTCATTTCATGTCAAACAAATATTTTTCTTGCAACCGTCACGATACTTATTGGAAGCTCTGCCCATTTCTTCGATGGTCCATGGAACGCCTTTTTCCAAACTGACCAGTGACCACCCCCCACACGGGCCACACGCCGCTGTGTAGTGTAGTCCCATCCGTCTGGTGCTACATCAACAGTATGTCTTCGTAATCCTCTTGTCCCCATCAAGTTTGCACGAGTGGAGTAGCAAATGCCACTAGGGATATCCGGTTTTCTGTCCAATCGCTGGTAGTATTTATTAATTATGCTTTCAATAGTATCGCTGGTAGTATTCTATATATGGACTTTTATGCCTGTCTTAGGGGGCTCTTCGGAACCAAAGAAAAACATGCATTTTGAGTACAAAGAAATGCTTTTATTCTCGAATACGCACGAGTGTGCGTGCCATTGTATTAGAAGATAGAATGTTTATATTACAAGATTGCCGTTACCGGCTGAACCAAGAAATGCTTCTTGAAAATTCCTTTAAAATTTATATGGATTGGGCTATCCCAAGGAATTTTTGAGGATTAAACTTGAGGTAAAACCTCATTCGTTTGCTTCCTACATTTTTCATGTGTTGTTTCCAAATGCATCTTTCATAAATCCTGTAGGATTGGAAGTGCGGCAGGGCATTCCAACCCTATTTTCCCTATTCTTGTTTTCTAATAATTCTGTGCTAAGACGAGACCTTACTTGGCATACAAAGGACAGGATAATTAGAAGCTTAATGCTTCCCAAGACATCGCTTATTTGTTTAATTATATTGGAGTGCCTGTCACAACAAGACCGACTCGTACTATATGTGGTTTGGCAGCATCAAAATCCGTGCGCCGTGCTACC